GCGCAGCGTGTTTCATGCCCGGCAACGTGTTGGCCCCGCTTCCCTCGGGATTATCGAACCGCAAACGAATTATAACCTAGCCGGGGAGCATGTCTTCGAGCTGCTCTGGACGGCGTCATCGTGATCACACAGATGGTGTCATGCGGAGGTAGTCGGGGTCCACAGGAATGAGCATATTCCGAAGAAAAAACGGTCGGTGTGTGTGGTGTGGGTTGGCGTTTGAGGGCGCGTCGGCTTTGAGGCCATTTTGCGTCCAGGAAAAGCTAATCGTGCATGAACTGGCGCGATGTGATTAATATAGGATACCCGAAAAGGCCTGCTTACCCGACGTCTCAACCCTTGGGCTTCAAGGAGCGCCAAGGTCTATGACAGGGTACGGTCACCATGCCCATGCTATTCACCTGATGTGTACGTTTCACGTTTCATTCAATTGTCCCTCGAAAGCGAATATAGCTAGTAACTACTCCCTGATATTTCGTGTTTCAGTGAGGTCGTCACGAGCTCGCGAGCTCGCCCGCCCGCCATGGAGACGCTAAGCGCCGCGGCGGACCAGCTGGTGTCGGAGTTCGTCGGTCTGAGCCGACAGAAGCCGGCTAACGGCAGCCGACAGGTGGCCGACCGTACGCTGCAACTGCTGCGCCAGCTGGTGGCCGAGCCCAGCTGGCGCCAGACGAGCCAGCTGCTGGGCCAGCTGCGCGCCGCCGGCCGCCGCCTTTCGGCCGAAATGCCCACCGAGCCGGCCGTCGGCACGCTCGTGTGCGCCTGCTCAAGATGGCGCGCGACGAGCACGAGGCCAAGCGGCGCGGCCAGCTCAGCCAGGAAGGAGGACTCGCTGCACCGGCGGCTGACGGCCGGCGGGCCGCTGGACGCCCGCCGAGGACCTCAGTCAGGAAGTGGCTGGCCTGCGGGCCGACCTGCTGGCGGCGCTCGACGAGCTGCAGACGGAGCTGGACGCCAGCGCCGACAACATCGCGCGCGAGGCGCTCGGCCACATTCACGCCGATGACGTGGTGCTGACGGCCGGCCACTCGCGCACTGTGCTCGAGTTTCTGCGCCGCGCCGCGCGCGAGCGCGCTTTCCACGTGATCGTGGCCGAGGGCGCGCCGTTCTGCCGCGGCCACGAGGCGGCGCGCGCGCTCGCCGCCCTGCCGCGCGTGCAGGTGACGGTGATCGCCGAGTCGGCCGTGTTCGCCATGATGGCGCGCGTCAACAAGGGTGATTCTGGGCGCGCAGACGGTGCTGGCCGACGGCGGACTGCGCGCCGCCTGTGGCACACACGCGCTGGCGCTGGCCGCGCGCTTTCACTCGGTGCCGGTGATCGTGTGCGCGCCCTCCTATCAGCTTTCGCCGCGTTCCCACCGCGGCGACCAGCAGGAAGGCTTCCAGTGTCAGGTGTCGCCGGAGCCGGTGCTGTCGTACGCGGAGGGCGCGGTGGTGGGCCGCGCCCGGCTGTCCTGCCCCGTCTACGACTACGTGCCACCCGAGCTGGTCACGTTGTTTGTCACCACACGGGCGGCACCTCGCCCTGGTACATCTACCGGCTCTGAACGAGACTTACGATCAGCAGGACCACGAGATCGTGCAGGGGGACGAGCGCAGCGCCCGCCGCCGCCGAGGGCCGGGAGGGCGGGGCCACTACCGTCAGTGTGAGACTCTCGCGCCGCCCGGGGGCCGGCGGCTCGTGGCTCCGCCCACGTTGCCGCCTACGTTCAGCGCGGCGCGATGTCCCGTTTGGTGTCGGTTTGTGGAGGTCTGGTTGTGCAGTGTTGCGACGTTGTGGTGCTCGGCTTGTCGTCGTCTTGAATGGCGCGGAAAATACATGACGGAATTAATTTTTCGTTTTTGCGATCACGAACGTGGCATGGCGTCGTTCGTCTTAGAAAGAAAGCATGACACATGGTGTAATGGAAACGGCAAATTATCATATTGAGAAAGTACCGTATGGTAATCGGCCATTCACCAACGACTGCACGAGTTAGACCGTGCGTCGTGTGGAAGATAGTCAAACAGCCGTCATGGACAAAGCCACATTGTAAGGACCGTAAGACGAGCTGGGATTAAAGAGTCCATGAACCATTAAAAACACTGATCCACAAGATGGGCAGGGTTAAAGTCGCCTCCCCAAAAGGCGTGAGGCAAGGGGGCAAATGGAAGTCCGTAAGAAGCATACATGAAACGTTTTACAGAGGGTCGCAAACGAGATGTGTGTTCAAAGAAACCGTACGCTAGATACCAATGGGAAACTATTGTGAGCGACACACGTATGTGGCGAAATATATTTCCGTAACATAAGTTTTGTGGGAACTGAGGCGAGAAACGTACGTGCACCTGCACTACGTGGAAACCAGGTGGCAGCAAGACTTCAAGAAGAACGTTGGTAGGAAGCCGCACCTAAAAGACCGAGTCGGCGACCCAGTTGTAATGCCTTGCGATCTGTCCTGCACGCAGCGTTGTCAGCGTGGCCATTGTGTATGATCCCTACCGCCGCGATTTGTGGTATACCATCTGATCTCGCCCATCCCCTAACCGGGGCCGATTTGTATTTCGAACAACATCTTGTTACATTACATTTACCGCTTATAATCTTTTGATTTCCCAATTTTCTGCACAAATCCTGTAGGTGAAGTACTGTCTCATTGATTTTCGGAAAATGTGTGGAGCCGCAAGAAATCCTTTAATTAAAGCCGTGCGACCCCTAAGCTAGATCCTGGGAGATAGTCAGGATACTTCATACACCTAGCACAAATCATAATTTTGTTGATAATTTGTTTAAGATATACCTGCTGGGAGACCTACAACAGGTGCCACGACTCTAGACCGGCGAGATCCTGCTTGCACGATTACGCAAGCGTTTTGCAAATTATGCAAGACAGTGAACACGTCGCAGCAGTGGGTACCAGGATCTGATTTGCACCCCTCAGACCTGCTTGTATCTGATATCGTTTTGCAGGTCAGTCAGGCAGCCCGCTAAAACTGAGCCGCCGGCCTTATGATCGCACGCTGGGCGAGGCAGTGCCGAGCGGGTGACGTCACAGCCCGTTGTCATGCAGCTAAGCTGTGCGTCAGGCGAACACCGGAGTCGCTCCACACACGACATGACCTGAGCCGAAAGGGCGGGCATTCACGAGCGTTTGAGACACATGGCATGGCGCGTCCTTCACCGCGCGCAGTCCACACGCGTCAGGTCATGAGAGGTCATTCATGTATTCTGCTGTTATGCAGCATTGCACCCGTCAGCTGAACGTCGTAAACGGGCCGGATAAATATAAAATCATTCCATCTGGTCAACAAATATCATCCCTCTTTGGTCGTTAGAATAGCCTAACCGACGCGGCTACCGCCGTCCCTTGTCAGAAGACTCCCCAGTCCGTCGCCAGGGGCGCCACCGTCGCCGGCTCGGCGTCCGGCGGCTTCTTCGCCTTGACGCGCCGGCCCTTGTGGCGGAGTGCGCGTGCCTAGCCATGTGACTCTTGAGCCGGTCGCTGCGGTGCACGGAGTAGTCGCAGAGGTGACAGCGGTAGCGCTTCGTCTCGTCGTGGGTGCGCAGGTGCCGGCTGAGGTGAGTCTTGACGTTGAAGGCGCGGGCGGTGACAGTGCGGGCAGTGGTGGTTGCGCCGCTTGGCGTGGGCCTGCAGGTGCTCCAGCAGGTGCGACCGCTTCGGTGTGGTGTAGCTGCAGCCGGCGTGCTGGCAGCGGTGCAGGTCGCCTGCCGGGGGGGGGGGGGTCAGCGGCGGTCGCCACAGGGCAGCAGAGCTCGCCCCCCGCACCAGGCACAGCACAGACGGCGTTAGGCGGCACGCTGCCGCCATGGCCGAACAGACAACAGACGTGCGTTGGTCAAACAGACCATCAGCGTGACCGGCTTCCACACAGCGGTCCGGCTTTCCGTCAGAAGGCACACGTGCTGCGTCCCACGCACTGTCCCAGCGCCAGCGCCTCTCGACCACGTCTGAGCTGGCTGAGCCAGCCTCCGCGTGGCGCGACTCCCCACCAGGATCGGAACAGCTCTGCCCTCTGGCGGGGGCGCGCCACCGGCTAGTCCGTCCAGCCCAGTTCGTCTACAGGCCAGTCTGCGGGTGCGCCCGGGTGGGCCGACCGACCGGCCGAGGGGCGCGGAGATCGCGCCGACCGCTCTGTCCCCTGCTCACCGGCGTGAATCTTCTTGTGCGCCACCAGGTGGTTGGCGTACTTGGTGGAGAAGTTGCACTCGTCGCAGACCGTGCTTCTTCTCGGTGGCGTGGCTGCTCATGTGCTGCCGCAGTGTGGTGCTCAGGGCGAACACTGCCCCACACTCCTCGCCTGCCGCATAGTCAACAGGGTCACGCTTGATCCCCTGACACGGGTCAGGTCCATTCGGGCTGCCGGGTCCATGACTGCAGGTCGACACAGAATCTACACGAGGTCACGTAGCGTAGATTTTCAGCGTCGTACGACCAGCACATTGCCTGCGGCAATACCCTCCAATGTCGTTGGTTCGGAGAAATAATCACGTTATTTTAGTAACATGGGAGATGAATGCTTAAACCAAACCTATGGGCACATTAACCTGAAGCACTACTGACCAGCATGATGTTTCGTGACCACATGTCATTAAGCATACGTTTTCTTTCGCCTCCAAGCACAAGAAACTTCCGCGTCACAACTGGCTCCGAGCGATCAAGCATCCTCCCGAAAAGCATGCGCATTCCACCAACATTGTATGTAGCGTCACGTACAATCTGTGCCAGCCGGCTGCCAGCGAACGACCACTACCTGCACGGCAAAAATTCCGCGTGACGGCACGTATATTCCACATCATCCCGCATAATCACACGCAACCACAATGGGCCAGCGCCAGGTCAAAGCCTAGATGGCACGGGTCAGGTTTAACAATTAGCCCATGTAGTATCCCTTACCTCCCAGATGCTCCGAGCCCAATCATCTCAGAGGCTGCGAGTAGGGTCATCCCGCCGGGCGGCCCTGACTGTCCGGCGACCCGGCGCCAGGTCAGGCCGCAGCGTCTACTCACATTTGAACGGCCGCTCGCCCGTGTGGATGCGCATGTGGGAGCTCAGGTTGCCCTTCTTCCAGAAGCTGAGGTTGCAGTCCGGACAGCGGTGCGGCTTGTTTTCGGCGTGCTCGCGCCGGTGCCGCATAAACTTCAGGAACACTGGGTACTCGCGGAAGCCTGACAACGTGGAGACGCCGTTAGTGAGCGCGTAAAGCCCACCGCGGCGTGTCGTGAATGCCGCCACAATGGCCCGCGCGCACCATCCGGCTGCTCGACAACTCTTGGTTGAACCAGGCAACTGGTGGAGCAAACCACCCTTGGGTCGCTCTTAACATACATGGTCACGATATAACGGTCAGAGAAAACACGTGGTCCTTACCACCATACTCGGGAACCAATGGCCATCGACGTAGGATAATACTATACACATGCACCCAGAGAACAGAGTCAGAGACGGGGACTGCGGGCCAGCCGACAGACCGACGACACAGGGCAGGGAGCGGAAGATACGGACAATCCCTTACATATGCTGCAGGTGAACGGAGGGCCATCGAAGTGCGTGCGCATGTGCTTGAAGTAGATCGACGTCTTCTCGCTGCACATCTGGCAGATATCACAGGTAAACGTCTTCTTCAGCGGGCCGGGCCGGTGCTTCTCCGCCCGGTGCTTCTCCAGAGCGGCCTGCACGGTGAAGACAGCCGGACAGCGGGGACACACAAAATGCCGAGGTGGCGGCGGAGGCGGCGGCGACGGCGGCGGCGGCGGAGGCGGCGGCGGAGGTGGCGGCGGCGGCTCGGGGACCACAGCCAGCAGCGGCGCCAGCTCTGCAACAGCGACGGGCGGCTTCAGCGGCGGGAGCGGGTCCAGTTACGTGGCGGTGGACGTCAGAGAAGCTCGAACACTGGTCAGGTCACACGGCCACCCAGCTGACACAAGCAGGTACTCATAGCGAGGTGGTTAAGCCGCTCATCTTCGACACCACAGATAGGTTCCATTTCCCGCGGTACCTGCCCTCCCTCTCGGGATGGGAGGAGGTAGACGTCATCTAGCCTCAGCAGCTGAGAGCGTCGTAAAGCCCCAGTGACCCGACAACGAGCTGCCAACAGCGCAAGCTTCCGGACCCATCCGAGTGGCATGCAGGGAGAGTGCATATTGGGTAGCAGAGGACTGCAGTTTACGAAACAAACAACGCGCTATTAACTCTCCGCATGTCTGCACTCAAATCCGCGAAGTTAACACATCGATTCACTGCGCAGTCACCGCGTCTTGCGTGCATTCTTGTGTGTAGAGGTTGGGGAGTCTGATGGACATATTTAGTGATCTGCCTTTTTGACGTTATTCTACGCTAGGCGTGCACCATGTGCAGTTTTTGGATCTTATTGTATGGTTAAAGCTGTTAATGCTGTGTATCGTTATTATTGCGCCGCGTCGCCAAATTGCCATTTGCAAACATAGTACATTGTGTCGTACGCAGTACTGTGTTGGCGTCCACCACCAGGGTGGTGCTTGTGATGTAACAAACGAATACGGAATACACGTTCCGTCCGTGCTGAATAAGATGCTAGGTGCCCAAAGCGAACTGGGATATTTCCCAACGAAGTTCAAAACCGTGGCCCAATATTCTCAACACCAAAACCATAGCCCATGTATCCCTGCCGCAGCACACCCACAATAGCGCAGGTCATGCAACACAGTACAAATGCGGACACTTGCGTCCCCCCCCCCCCCCCCCCCCACCCGTTGACTGTTGCCTACAAGCTGCGCTCCACGCGAGCACGGCGCCATCTGTCGTCGGCCGCTCAGGGCGCGAGCGAAGCGGTCACCTGTGTGCTCCGGCCGGGGCTCGTCCTCCTCCACCGGTGGCTCCTGTCGCTGGCGCAGCCGCTTTCTTCTTGGGGCTGCGGTGCACGGTGGGCTGGATGTCCGGGCCAGGCTCGGCAGCAACCCGAGCGCAGCTCCTCCGCCAGGCCCGGGTCCAGTTTCCGCTTCTTCGCCGGCATCGGCAGCGGCGGCGGAGGGTGGCGGAGGCGGCGGAGGAGGCGGGGGTGGAGGCGGCTGCGCCGTCTCCAGCCTCAGCGCGTCCTCCACAAACACGGCGGCCGACGCGGCCTCGTCGAGCCGCGCCGGCTCCGGCCGCCGTCCATCCGCCTGCGGCGGCGGCGCGTACAACAGCCCGCCGCCGGCCGGCTCCCCGCAGCCCGCCGACACCAGTGGCGCCAGCGCCGGCTCGTCGCACGCGTACGCGGCCGGCTCGTACTGCAGCCGCCCGTCGGCCGCTAGGTAACAGGCGGCCTGCTCGCGCCCCACCGGCCGGCCCTCGTCCACCACCTCATAGCTGGCGCACAGCGGGCGCAAGCGCGCGTCCGGCGCCGCCTGGAACGTGCGCGACTCCAGCTGCGCAGCGTCGGCGTACGGCCGGCCGTCGGCGCCGAGCGCGTCGGGCGCGGACGGCTCGGCGTGCCGCCGCGGCTCGAAGCGGCACTGTGCCAGGCTGGCCGGCGGCTCGCAGTACAGTGCGCCGCCCGGCTCCGGGTACTCGTTGTACACCATGTACTGGAGGCCGAGCGGCTGCGCCGCCTCCAGCAGGCGGCGCTCGTCGGCCTGCTCAGCCGGCGTCGGCTCCTCGTCCGGCTTCTCAGCGCGCTTCACCATCAGCATGTACTGCAGGTCGCCGGCCGCCACGGCGCCGCCTCCGCCGCCGCCGCCGGCAGGGCCGCAGCCGACCGACTGGTACAGGCCGGCCATCTCGTGGCAGTCAGCCGCGCCGCGGTAGCGTGCGTTCTGGCGCGGCGCAATGCGCTGATGATCGGCGGCAGGCCCGCCGCCGTAGCGGTGCTGCTCGTCCACCTGCAGCTCCTCGTACTTGTCATGCAGCTGCGGCGGGTGTGGCGCCTGCTCGGCGCCGAGCGCATCGCCGTAGTCTGTGTAGCGGGAGGCCGCCGCCGGCGGTGGCGGTGGCGGCGGCGGCGGCTCCTGGTAGCGGCCCAGGTAGCGCGGCTCGCCGGCGTGGCAGCGCAGGTCCCGGGCCGTCTCCTGCTCACCGCCGGTCAGCTCCACGCCGCCCAGCGCGTCGTCGATGGCCGAGATGGAGAACGTCTCGATCGGCGGCGGGTTCTGGCTGGACGACACGGCCGCCTGCCGCGCATGGACAATGTCACATAATGGCACGCAACGCGGCGCCGGCGCCGACACTGCGCCCTCCGGCGGGCCGCCAGACGCAGTCCAGCCCGAGGAGCGCAGCCTGCCCCGCAGGAACCGGACGGGACACACTGCCAAAGGCCAATGCGGCCCGCTTGTGACTGACTGAGATCAAGCAGCCCTGCGCAGGCCTGACACGCAAGCGCCGACTGCGGTTGAATCAAACTGCCCGGTGCAGATCTGCTCAGCCGATGTTGACTGGGACATGATGACCTAGGAAAGCTCTTACAAGAAGCTGTACGCTGGGGCACAACCGCTACGAGCAGGAGAAGCGCACAGAGATGAATCAGATGCACATTTATAGGAGGTGACATTGCCGAGAATAGGCCATCCTATCATAGACGAGCAAGTTCACAAACTACCGAAGCCCTTTAAAAGACCAGAACACCTCTGTGTAGCATAACGGTAGCATAACACACCAGCTAAGTGCCTTCAGCGACGAGCGACGAGCAAGGCGACACAAAGGTGAAAGTTATCAGCACTTACAGCGATGATGCCAATGCAAAATCTAAGCTAATGAACTCGGACACCTTCAACAGCCAGCACCAAGGCCTTTCAGGAAAGCATTAGAGGGTCTACCTTCTAGGTCCTAGACATAGAAGGCGCCTGGAAGGTATGGAGTTCTAGGCGGAGGTCCACTGATGAAGAATTTGCGGGAAAGCTCAGAAACCATTTGCTTGCAAAAAGATCCTGGCTTATGGTCCGGCCAAGCTTGACAATTCTAATCGACCAACACTGAACTTCTAGAAGCCATGACGGGCGGGCCGGGCCCGACGGGCAAATCAACTTAAAGTGTTATCGCAACTGAAGAGCGCCGCACTGGCCCTGCCACCTCGTAACGGTGTCACAGGCTTTCAAACTTCTGACGCCGTTACGAGGTCTCAAGCAATCCTGGCCGTGTGAGGGTATCAAGGAAGATACACTAGGGCCCTCACGACCTTTACGTGATGACAACCTACGTAAGCAATGACTACTGAGGGCCGAGCGATCCATCCAACTCCACACAATCGTACTGAGAGGCCGGTTATCAGCTGCCATCGGGGGCTAGAGTGCAATGAGTTGTCGGCAGCATTCCATCGCGCACACTGTCCAGCGCCAGAGGTCTTTCACGAAACGACGCTCATTTTACAACTGAATGAAAACATCGTCGGCATGCAACTGCCCTGCAATCTTAGTTACCGTGTCCAAAGAGACGAAACGAGCGAAGTGTTCTCAAGGGTCGCGTTCCGACCCGTTGGCCGGGCCTATTGAACGACGGAGGATGGACGAGACCCCCGGCCTGCAGCGCCAGGCAGCGGGCAGGCCGGGCGGTGCAGCCGCAGGTCTGTCGGCGGCAGGCGAGCCGAGCGTCCGGAGCGCGCCCCACGACACAGCCCGACCGAACCCGGCCCGAGACACGTGCAGCAGCTGCGGCAATGGCACCCTCAGCGACGCTGGCGCTCCTGCTGCTCGCCGCCGGCCAGCCGGCGCGCTCCACAGCCAGTCCGCACACCGCCGTCGCTGCCGCCGCCGTGACGCTGCAGCCGGCCGCCTGGACCCGCGACAGCCAGCTGCCGGCGCACCTGGCGATGGCGCAGTTCAGCGCGGCCAGCGCCTGCGACTGCCGGGCGGCCTGCCTCACGCGGTCGGACTGCCTGAGCGTCGGCGTCACAGAGAGGCCAGCCGACGGCGTCGAGTGCCGCCTGAGCCGACGCCGCGGCCACCCGACGCTCAACGAGCCGGCCGCCGGCGCCGCGCTGTCCGAGCGGCCCGGCCGGGCTCAGCTGCACGACTGGTGCGACGCGCACGCCGAGTGTCTGACGCACGGCGCGCTCTGCCTCTCCAACCGGTGCGAGTGCCAGGCGGGCCTCGAGGCGGGCGGTGACCGGTGCCGCTGCGGCGCCAAGTACGGCCGGCCGGCCGACGGGCCGTGCTGGTTCCGCGACTGCGCCGACCTCCGGCACGCCGGTGTCGACGCCGACGGTGTGTACCAGCTGATGGTGCGGCAGGACGGCGCGGACAACCTCATCCGTGCGGCCTGCGACATGACGACCGACGGCGGCGGCTGGACCGTCCTCCAGCAGCGCTCGACCCCCGAAGACGACATCTTCCTTCAGTCATGGGAGGCCTACAAGTGGACGATCGGCTCTCTGACCGGAGACCACTGGCTGGGAAACGAGTACACGTACTTGTTGACCATAGGCGCGGACCAGTCGCTACGCGTGGAGCTGCGCAGCAAGCAGAACGAGACTGCGCACGCTTTGTACGACAGGATCAACGTCTGGCGCCATCCCGCATACACACTGCACCTCGGCAACTTCCAAGAGGGCGTTGGCGGCGCCGGCAACGGACTGTCCGCACAGAACTATCGCAAATTTTCGACCCGCGACAGGGACAACGACCTGACCAAGACGCTCTGCACACAGCGCAGGGTGACGGGATGGTGGCATAGTCAGTGTGAGGCCGAAACCAATCTGAACGGACACTACGAGGAAACGTCTCCCTACAAACGGGGCATCATCTGGAGCACCTGGCAGAACGGCGAGCCACTCGGGTCGTCTCGAATGATGATAAGGCCGGCGGCATTCCAACTCAACCCCTTTGCATGAGGATGATGAACATTTCGGCTCGGTCCCAGCGTAGCCCACGCGGCATTGCGGGCCTGACTGGCCGGCACGACCGCGCCAAGCAGCCCCCTCCCCGCTTCCCCCCCCCCCCCATCTCGCGCCTGATAACGTTGCAAATTTTTGCGCGTGACTCCAGAAAACATGCGCTGAACCAGTGTGGTTGCGATAAATACTTGCCGCCGCTGCCGCCGCCAATCAGCGCAGACAACGGAGATCAGTGAAGAACAGAGCGCTCCGTCCAGTCCAGCACAGCAGTCTGTACGAAGTGAGGATGATTTTGAATGTCTGCGTGATTGGGGCTTTACGACGCACTCAGCTGCTGAGGCTATATGGCGTCGCCTGCCTCCCGCCTTGGCAGGAAGGGCGGGCGCCGCGGGGAATCGAACCCCGTACCTCTGGTTTCCCAGATGCGCAGTAGCCAGCGCAGACGCGATAACCACTACACTATCGGCACCCCCGATTTTGAATGTCCTACCGCTGACCGACCGGGTTACGGCGAGCAGGCAATAACCACATGTGAATCAGCTGCCCAGCACGATGTCTTTTCTGGAATGGCATTTCCGACCGCATGCTGCTATCATCAGTCCAGGGCTGACTGAGAAAAGGACACTAGATAAACGTCTTGCCTTCGCACTGGCTTCCGCACAAGCATTGTTTTCCCCAACATGATTTCTGACCATCTTATGTCAGTCGCCTGTCCGTTAACTGCAGCTCCCTAGTTATATGTCGTACCATGTTCTTAGCAAAAAATAAAAATATAAATCTGCCGCAATGCTCGACATGCGCGTGCGACCTTGATTTATAATTTCCGCGCTGGTATATCTGCGGTGAAGATGACGGGCCACGTTGCTCATCGACCTCTCGATTTAAGAGCTACACCATTGTTGAGTAGACAGACGCTTCTCCTCGATCAGCATATCATGTCCGTGTTTCTTAATAGACGTGCTGGCTACCAACTGAATGTTTTCGACACCCACACACGGCGTGATGATTAAGGAAGGACCTGGGCACAACTTGAAGTCGAGCACGAATGTTTCTCCGGACCAATGACGTCATCACAACACACACAGCATCAGAGCTATGAACTTTGATCTAGAGGCGCTTGCCTTGATCCAAACACCAGTGAAGGCATCCTTGCTAGGAGTGTCTCATACTATTGGAGAGCACTGCATTGCATTGCACTGCAAGCAAGCATTGCAAGCAAGCATTGCATAGCAAGCATTGCCCCCAGATAATTCTAGACGACTGCAGCGGCTGCACGTTTGAGCGTGCAGTTGCGGGATGATACCTTGTTTGTTTGTGACACCTTGGCCGCGGTGACCCACCACTCAACCAGCTGACCTACAGGGCACGGGTATCAGGGAGGAGGCAGGCCATTCAATAGCCCCGTAGGCCCACGTACGGAGACGGTGAGGTGATAATATACTCGAGGGGATGATGGATCTCTTCACGTGCCAAGGGGATGGTGTTGGAACGGGAAAGAAAGGATGATGACAGACAACAGCATAAAGGAAGGATAAACACATATCGACGTTTGCGCCAACAATGCCACATATGTCATGCCAGACTGCGCGCACGAAATGCAACTGGGCGCAAAAGAATGCGAATACAAAGAAATACAATTGGCGAGCACGACGAGTACGATGCGAATGACTGTCATCGCCGAAAAGGTGTGCAAAGAAACGCGCGTACTAAGAAACGCGGTACGAAGGAATGCGATACAGGGCACTGCCTTCATAACACAATCTGATACCGAGGGTATCATATCATATCATACGCATACGAAGTTTTACGGACAAGAGGGCATGCGATACCAAACAGTGTCAATACGATGAAATGCGATATGAAGAGTTGAAAACACAAAGTTTCGGGATCAAATGATTTGCAAAAAGACGTTTTACGCGCACGAATATTTCTCCGCGAAGATTCGCGTGCGATGCTTTGGGGTGCCAAGGTCTGTGTACGAAGAATCGCAATACGCGGAAATGCTTACAAAGAAATGCACCCCTAATGCGATACAAAATCAATAGCCGGCTGCACACAAAAAGTATACATCCTAATGGCTGTATACGAAAAACCTACATTCTAATAACATGTAAGAGGCCTACGACGCGCGACCTTCGCCTAACGTGTAGTAAATGGACAGCAGAAGGTGCGGCAACCTACGAAGTGCTACATATAATGCCATTAATAAGGACATTTTAAGTGCCAACAAAAGAAATGCATGGACCCATCCGTAAGTGTGCATAAACACAATACGCAACAAAAGTATTCTCTACATGCTATGTTTCCACTAAGTAAAAATTCAAAATATTACGCTTTGGGAAATACAAGAGGCAAAATCTAGCTTAAAGTCAGCTGTCTTACGTTGGCTTCATCTGTTAACAGCGGAAGTAAGCTTTAGCTTCCTGGCTACCTCCCAAACCTAACAACAAACTTTCATTCCTACCTGTGAAGATCGCATTTGCGAACAAAAATCTGGTGCATTAGTTCCACGGCACTGACATGCTAGAAAATCATATGGCATGAATATTTCACCATCCGTTTCGGTTTAAAAACCACATCCGCTGAAGTACCACATCAACACAGACAAATAAACTTTGATGGAGCACGGACTGCGTTAATGCGATCAAATTATACATCGCAGTTTTATGACTATGGTTCCAACGATTTCCTTGTATGAATTTCTGGAACCAGAGCCAACGCTTAACTAAGCTGGAGCTTGAGTTACGACCCAACCAGCCGATCACAAAAAGCCGGTTCAACGGCAGAAGGTTGTGGTGACAGTTTAACGCGTCACAATGCTCGGAAGGGCCCCGTCCTCCGACCCCATCTGACCTTGAGTAGCTTCTACCACCGGCCGCGGACCATCCCGGCGAGGGGTGAATAGTGAACGCCGAAGCGACTCAAACCCACTCACCCTTCCCCGGCTAGGCTGGGAGGCAGGCTCTTTAACTGATTGAGCTACGGGTTGGAGCGGGGGTGGGGTGCATATTTGGAGCTGAAAAGGTAATTAAAAGCCCTTCGGCTCCAGAGTTTCTACTCGCCAGCTGGTGCGCCCTGGCCCGCCGATGGGCCCTGCCTGACTGCCCGGGCTGGTCCAATGGAAACCACTCACTACTGCAGTCGAGCCTACCAGCCGCTGCCGTCGGGCCCACCTGCTGCTGAAGCCGGTGAAGGCCGTCAAAGATGGTCGCCTCCGTGCCCTCCAGCTCTTCTATGGCCGTGCTGATCGCCATGGAGAGGAACGTATCGTTGTCGACCACCAGGTCCTGTAAGCAAGTACAGTGCCGTCACACTTTACCGGGTGTCGGTGCTGACCAACGGACCTCGGGGGCAGCTGACACGGTGGTGGGAGATGCGCGTGACGTCTAGACGCTGGGGTCACCACGTTCTGGGGCAGGCAGGGCAGCGATTAAGTCTCATGGGATAACGTGCCACCAGACGTGCCCCTCGGCACATGGCCTTTGACTAGAGCCGACCAAGTTGCTCTTAAGCGAGCATGATCCTTGTTCCGAGGTCGCAGGGAACCACTCAAACAGCGACACAGAAAGACACAAGGTTTCACTGACTGTGACGGAGTGCTGTCATTTTTAAAGCAGTCTACTTTCCCCGGGCCGATCACCATTCGTTATTCACCTTGCCTGCTATATCGCCAGGTACTTTCCAGCCAAATGGGTGTTCACACGGGGCGTTTTATCCATAAGCACTGTCGTCTTTTACCGCAGGGAACTGAGGTCCAGGTTTGCAGGTTTTGCGATCAAGCGATCAGTGCATTAACAAATGAGCACGGTGTACTTAACCTCGTACAGTGGACCTGAAATTGCCAAAGCAGGGGCCCTTAACCCTAGAGCGCATCCTGCATTCCCTGTCACGGAACTGCTTTGCCACGCGAGGGTCTGAAACCGAAATAGCCAAACAATAATGTAACACAGGATTTTGTTTTCAGGTCATGCTCTTCAGGATGAGCTTCGGGATCGTCCTCGTTAAGCATCGCTTGTTGCGAAGGTTGTCACCCCACCACGTCAGTCAACCAATTCTCGTTTAAAGGGAACGTTTCGCATTTGAAGATACTGAAGCGAGCATCAGACAAATGAAACAAGCTCACTCATTACTATTGGTATACCTCGTATGTGAAAAAGCTGCTCTAGACAGCACAATTCCCTGTTTAATACATGTTTCCCAATGCACCATGACTTGACTACGTCATCGTACTTTCCACAACATTGACTGAGGGCCAATGGACGGCCGTTTTATCTGGAAATCGCAACAAACGACACATGTCTGTCCTGTGCAGAAGCACGGCAAAAACACCACACGATCGACCGCGTGCACCGCCAGAGTGGAGTCGGTCCAGCGCCTACTCGGGCCTCACCTGCATATACTTCTCCTCCATCTGGCTGAAGAGCTGCTCATAGGCCGGCAGCCGGACACCGGCGTCGCTCAGACTCTGCAGCGTGAAGTACAGACAGCGCTCGCTCTCCGCCAGCAGCCGGTCCGTCTGCACCAGCTGCAGCAGCCGTCCGCGCTCCACTAGCTGCAGCGGCACGCCCACCAGCAGCTGGCGCAGCTCGTTCTCGCGCGACGACACGCTGTGGCGCACCCAGTTCAGCACGAACGTAAGCTGCCGCTCCGGCGACAGCGCCAGCTCCTGCCGGCGTGCGGCCACGCCCGTTAGGAGCTGCCGCCCGACGACCAGCGCAGCAGTCCACCGCCGGAGCGGCACGGAGCGAGGTGGCCGCGACGTCAGCTGTCTGCACCACGTCTGAACCACCACCAGAACGTACCGTCGCTCCACCCGAGGCTCGCCACACGGCGTCAGGAACTCACCTTGCCCATAACGAGCTGCTCCACCTTGGCCTGCGGCAGCTCCATGGCCTCCTGCTGCCGCAGTACGTCGTCGATGTTGGCCTTGACGAAGGTGACGGCGGTGCGCAGGAGTTCGGTCATCTGGTATCGGTCGGCCATGTCCATCACCGACAGGCAGTTGGTGACGTCCAGGTAGCGCTCCAGGTACTCGGAGCAGTGGCCGCGCAGCTTCAGCACGCTGAAGTGGTTCGACAGGCGCACCAGTTCGGACACATTGTTCTTGTCGATCACTACGTTGCCCGTGTAAATGTAGTCCAGCAGGCACCGGAAGATCTCGTGGCCGCCACAGCTGATAGTCAGCTGCTCTTTCACAACCTTGTCCTGTTTGAAGGTGTTTTGGAAATATTTGGAGCAGGAGGCCAGCACGTTGCGGTGCGCCTCAAACTGCTGGCCCTGCACGTGCAGGATGACGTCGCAGAAATAGTTCTGCTCCCGCTGATGGCGGAGCATCTCCAAAATAGCATTTCCATGCTGGTTTTCTGTGAAGTTCATCGAGTTGTTGGGCAACATGTTGGCCGCTGCCATTGTCATGGTCATTATTTACAAGTGACACCTCCACACTGGCCTTCTTCAGGGACAGCAGCATACAATCATTCAGGCCATGCCCAGCCTGCAACTGAAATAAATGGCAAATTGTCAACTTATGGACACTACTGTTATACAATGAAGGGGAGGGGGCTGGGGACATTTGTTTGCTCATGTGAATTATTACCAGTTCACACAGCTCCCATAATGAGATCTAGCACCAGCATCTAGATGGGAAGCAATCATGCATCATACAAATTGAAGCAAAGTTATACACATATTCAGTCAGCAGGTCATTTTTACAATGTAAATGGGGCACGCATTGGTGCCAGGTCATTCTCAGACTCAATTAATATCTGGTGACTACCAGAACATCATCTGAAACTATGAGCACACATGAGCACACAAGGTGAGGACATAGCCCCCAAAATATGTAATCTGTAATGCTAACACCTTGTCTTTATCACCCTACTCAGCCTTGATATTTTGTGGTACCATAAGTTTCAGTAGACACAAAAAAGTGTTTTTTGCAAAACAATGCTGCATGTTAGATTTGGCTTCAGCTTTGGCCACACATCATACAACTAAAGGGTTTAGCTTTAGCTCAATATTTTGTAAGTTGGCAGCCACTAACTGGCTTCGGCACTGCATGCATGGCACATAAGTCAACTGGCTGTCAGATTCTGCTTCATGTCTTACAAACATAAAACCACTAAAATTCCCCTCTCAGTTCAGAGCTTGGAACTTTGTGATTGTCTTGGCTTCATATTCAGTTTGCTGTGAGAAGCAGAGACACTTTGCTTTGTCCCAATACCTGCATCAAACACTATGATGTTCCCTCAAACATATGTTTGCATACACAGGCTGTTCTCTCCACCAATCAGGGTCTACTGTGAATGCAAGTAGAAAACTCAAATCTGACAAACTGAATATGAAACCCCACCCCTGCACCCCTGGTGCAAGTTCAAGTCACTTAAGAATCAAAGTGCTTGCTCTTTGCCAGACTGGGATAGCCTGCAGCGGTGCTGGTGCTACACCCCGCCCTGCTTAATGTCACATGACATCTGAGGGCATAACTAACTACTGTGCAGAGCATTGCAGAACATTAAGTCTTTGGTTCAAAATTGCACCACTGACCTGAAAATCCAGTATTGGATGATGGGGTAAGGACTCTTGCAACCAGCACTGGCTAAAATAGTTGCTGAGCTCAGCAATACAACCAAGGAAAAGGTTCAGCTTAATCTTTAAAAAATAAACACATTTCCCCCCCCCCCTAAAAACATGACACCCATTTGTGCTAGGTTGGAAACAGAATACCTAATAAAAGGCAGTTTTGATCACAAACTGGCATCCTAGCAGTCAAACAATAGCTTCAGGCATCCAAGTCTGCATATTGTGCCATCCTGGTGTTGGTGTGCCATTATTTTGCTGTTCCTTGTGCTATTTGATGGTGTTAAATGCCAATGATTACACATGCTCCAACCATTTTGGACACCATAGCAGACTTTTGTACCAAAATCCAATAATAGAATGGGTGATTCATAGTCAAACACATCCAGGGGTGTCAATTTTTGTAAATTATTGGGAGCAGAACCAAAGACCTGACAACCTACCCATTTTTTCTCACCAGATTTAACTCACTTTGTTTTAATTAAACACAACATGTTATTTATCTTCAAATAATTCACAAGTCTCTAATTTAAGCAGAATAGACATCATGCAGGGATGGATCCTGGTAGCAGGCACAGGATGCCCAGTGTCTCTTCTCATTGGCACATGAAATTGCCCCTTTAGAAGCCACTTTTGGGCATGATGACCCTCTTCCATGACAGTCAAGGGAGGCAGCACACATTTTGGTTGTGGGGGACGGGAATGGGGTTAGCCATGAAGGACTCAGGTCATCCCCATGTTCCAGAGCCTATCACTTCAACCTTACAAACCATTGTAAGTTTTATGGTGCTAAGCATGTGAAATCTATGGCATTGCTTTTCTGCTCAGCTGATGGTTTGTACTCTGCTCAGCTGTTACTATTTGTATCTTGTGATGAGAGTGGCCATGACTTTTGTCAGGAGTGGTACGAGATGCCACTATGCAGAAAGATCAAAGAAGATGGGCTCTGTGTTATGATCATCTTTTTTTCACTTTTTTGTAGCATTCCAGCCAAAAACATTGGAGAGGCCAGGCCAACACTGGGAGCCCCAACTCAATGTTGGAGGGGCCAGGGCCCTTACAAAAGAACACAAATCGGCACCTGTGAACAAATCTCACTCCTATCTATGCCACCAATGCTGAGATATTGAGTGGGTAAATGTCCAACCGGTTTTTAAGTTAAATATTTTGAGTTGCGCCTCACGCATAAGATTCGGAGTTACTGCATACGTCCTGCTTCCCAATACCAAGTGATCCACCTTTAAATTCTGCTCCAAACAACTTGAGGAAACGCTACAATGTCATGAGCCCGAGAAGGCTCCGCACGTAACCAACGCACACAATTGCATTCGGCGCATTGCCGCCAACCACAGTTTTTTTTTTTACTTTGGTACCTGTGTGGTCGACAGAGAGAAGAGCTACGCTGACTGCAGGGTTTGTGTACTGTCGTGCTGGGGAAATGATGTGAGGCATCGGCCGACAGTATGACGTTACTGAAAATGGTTTTGCAATACCAGTGACATCATATCACCAGCGAAAGCCTTGACCTTGAGTCGTCCTAAAAGAGCCCTGTCCCGATCCATTCTGTGGCCTTGTCCCGATCGATGTAAAACCTTTTCAGCGACGTCACAATGTCAGCTGGTGCCTCACAGCATTTCCCCAGCACGACAGTACAAGAAACCCTGCGGTCACTTCCCCCCGTCGGCCGTACAGGTACCAAAGTAAAAAACTGTCATCCACATCCAAGTCTCTAGAAACCTAGCCACGACTAGTTATAGGAGCCACAATTGCTGACGCACTCAAGACAGACAATACCTAATGCCGTTTCGCTTGTATCCAGCATATACAGAAATCAGATGACAACGGTAACAAGGATTTGGGCTCAAAATTTTAAAAACAAATTTGGAATATGTCTTGGAATGCAGTACCCCGCTGGTCCGGATACAACTTGGCATTCGTAAGGCAAGTCTCAAGAAGTTAAACCACAAAGAAGTTTTCATTATGTGATGTTCACGTGTGTATGGAAGTTCTGCTGTCCCGTGCCTCGCCCCCGGCTAACTGGTGCACACGGTGCGCTCAGTCATTTCTTTGTTTGACACCCGTCACAGGCACTCGTCACAGTACGTCCCGCCGGCGGCTCTCAGAATCTTCTCCTTGCTCCGCCTCCTCTCCTTGCCCCCGCGGCCGCGTCCCTCGCATTCCCCTCCTGTCTGGGGCGGGAGGAGAGGAACGCGAGCGCCTCTAAGCGGCGCTCGCCAAACTGCGCAAACATTCACTGGCTAGCACATAGGCGTTCTCCGGCACCTTACACTACACCCTTCTTAAAAGAAGAATGACCTCACAATTGAATTATTCATTCATGACATGATGAACAAATTCATGGCATTATGACCACATATCTCACGAACCTAACGAACATGCAAGGAAAAGGGCACTGAAACGATATCCGTCACGACAGTGCATCTAACCTAAACAATAAAGTAGGACAAACAATACAATACACCATGCATCATTGCTATGCTCCCAGCTATCGCAGTCATGGGTTAAACCGATTTGGAGGCCGTCTGACTCGGGCACTCCGCTGTTCGCGATGACCGTTCGAAGACGGTTGTCCTGCAGACACTGGGACCCGGGACCTGGACACATTCAAATGGGGACTCGGGCGTGGTGGTGATTCCTTGGTTCGCGCCAGGTTACGGAGGGGCAGTGGTGACGTGGGCCGCGGTGGGAATCGCCGATTATGACGCGACCGTAATGAAGGTGCGACACCTGCTGAAGCTATGCATTCGCAGCTTGTTGGTACAGTCAACAACAGTGGACAAGGGACCACCTCTGACGGTATCCTGTAACAGATTCTAAGTCGTATCTCTCAGCTGGAGATGCGGCGAAACGAATCGCGCCGTCGCTGAGGCAACTGTCGTCCGTGCTCTCCCCACGACGCCAAGCGGCGTTGTTACGCGTGTGGTACTACCGGTCACCTACGAACCGACTGTCGGCACCGAAACGCGGTTTGCCACGGCGGGCCGCCTTCAACAGGCCTGCCGTCAAATGACGAACCCGGGAAACGTGGCAGGGGGGGGGGGGGGGACTTCGGCACGACGCCAGTGGTGGTCGCTCCGGGACTCTTAAACGATAACTGGTGGCCGAAAATAATAACGCATCTAACAAAGCACTTTTGAATGCTTTAGGACATCAAATCGTACATTGAGAAAGCAGTCCAGACGTATATTTCACTGGTGCGATTTTTATATTGATGTTAAGAACAGGTTGGCATTTACAACACTGCGAAGTGATGTTGTCTGGAATCTAGTGGTGGAGCTGGAAACATAAATGTGGGTTATGTGTTTTATTTTCGCTTGCCGTAACTGTTCATCTGTCCAGTGGACAACCTCAAAGTTGTAAAAAAGATACACAGTCTTATCTTTAAACGGTACGAATCAATTGGAAGATATTTTGAATCAGCATTTCATGACGGTCGTTCTCGCGCGGGGCGCGTTGCGTTACTTGCAGTGACCAACACCGCTCGGTTTTACGGAAACTACAACCCAGACCATCGCTGTTCTTGCCGCTGAGATTTTGGGTGTGCAGGCTCAATCCCTTTGATAAAATTTGTGTCACCAATAACTTCTGAAAAATTAAACGTTTTCAAGCAGACATGGGATAGCCTTGTTCGTTTTCGACTCATTTCGACCCGCTCTATTCAACATGAATGAGAGCGCTATTTCTGTTCGCCTAAGGACGCCTCTTGAGAAAAACACTGGGAGCGCGTTATTGTTCCCGGTCAAGGACTGAGCGTCCAATCCATCCCAGCGCGTAGTTCCTTCCGGATGTCATTCTGGTGCACGAGGGTGAGGTCCGCTGGTCGATCCGGAGGCCCTTAGAGGGATACACGACATCATATTGTTCCCTTCCTGACGCGAGAGGCTTTCTGATCCGCGCACTTGGCCCTGGACCGACGCAGGAACCCTCATTGACGCAATAGCATCTCTTATTGCCGCAGGTGGTCCAACAATTGGCACGTAGACTCCAGCTAGGCTTAACGGGCCTATGCTGGAATGGGGCTGGAGGCCCATAGGTACTGGGAGCCCTAACTGGCACAGGACCCTTCCACTGTCTCAATGTGAAAACTCATCACAGGTTATAATGTATCCTTTCATTGTCAGAGGGTCTCCACCAACACAATGTTCCTCTGACCGACTCAAGGCCTCTTGTGAACACATAACACTCTGTTAGACACTGGGCTCTTGACCAATACAGGAGCCCTGCATTGTCACGGGGGCTCCGACCACTGCAAATCACGGGCCCGGCCTTGTGCCTGCTTGGAAAGTGCGCATCAAGAGCTCAGATCGACACGGAACCGACTGTTCAGTGTTAGTGATTTCTTTTCGAAACAGGGGAACGCTCCACCTAAGAGATCCCCAATCGGTACAAGGGGCCCTCGTACTGACACGGCCTTACGGGCGGGGATTCTTTATGCGACCTACAGCCCACCCTTCGGGCTCTTCGGCCTTCAATCGGGTCCTTGATCTTTAGTATCGAGAGACCCTCCGGCCCCTCTTTGACCGTCTCCTCACACACCGCTTCTGGCTAACTCGGGGCCACTTGCCACGTCACAGGACCCCCATTATGCACTGCGACGACTGACCAACACAGGAGTCGCTCATTGTGTCAGGGACCCGAACATTACAAATTGCGGATCCCGGCCTCGTTCCCGCTTGGGGAATGGGCCCCAAGAGCTCAGGCGTATATGAGGCGGGCTGTTTGGCCCCGTGTTGAGACCTTGTATAATAGGAGGAGGGAATTCTAAAGACGGCCCTGACGCAAGCTCTCTGAATGATATGTCAGGTTACGGCACTACGGGTGGGGGCCGGGCCCGATTCCAATCGGAAGGTGATATGGAGTTCCCCGTCCTTTGAGTCCGCGTGTGACCTTGAATGATGACCTTGAGTGGTCAGGACTTTTTGACGGACGCTAGTTCCTTCCGTGGTGAATATTCTGATGTTTGTAAGTTTAAAATCTGTCGGTAATTTTCCGGTGATATCGAGTTCCCCGTCCTTTGAGCCCGTGTTTGACCTTGAAGGGTGACCTTGAGATGTCAGGATTTTTACGTACGCTAGCTCTTGTGCTTGTGAATATTTTGATTCTTACAGATCTCAAACCGGCCGGTAATTTTTGGACATCTCATTGAACACTGCCCTTAGTCGGCCCGGGCCCCTGCCGAACCCAGGATCCCTTGCTAGGCACTGTGCGTCACTGACAGACACAGGGGCCCCGGCCAGTGTAAATCGCTGGCCCCGGCTTTGTAGCTGATTGGGAAATGGGTCCTCACGCCCATACTGCCACGGAGCCGACCGTGCGGTAATAGTGGTGCCGGGCTGACGTATAGGCCCATATCGACTCAGTTGGTCCCCGATTGAAGCAAACAGCCCTCTGACTGCCATTTGATGGCCCGTCCCCGCAGACCGGGGCCCCCTGACTCCAACCAGCCCTTCGTGCCCTTAAGCCCTCCAATCGGGTCCTTGATCGTCGGTCCCATTGGGCCCTCCAGGCTCTTCGGGCCCCCTCGAACACCACCTATTTGCGTCTCGGGACTCTTTGCCAAAAGAGCCCCCTGTTAGGTGCTGTGGGGCCCTGACAGACGCTGGGCCTGACCAGTTTAAATCGCTGGTCCCTGCTTTGTCGCTGCTTGGGGCATGGGCTCTCAGGCTCATGCCGATACGGAGCCGACTGTGCGTTATTGGGGGCGCCCGACGAACGTATAAGCACTTATCGACTCACGAGGCCATGATCGGGGCCGAGCCCCTTAGGTTCACGTGCTCCTGACCTGGGTCGGACACCTGTTCACAAGGCCCGTCAGATCCTGCGGGATACAAAAGGCCCCATTGGAACCTAAGGGGGGAGGGCACGTACCCCTGTCCTCCTGCCTGCGTTACTGTTCATCAGTATATTTACTAAATGGGGAAATGTTGTTTAGAAAAGTCTTGTCCACTTAATTTACCAATAGCTACAAATGAGCTTATTTCGCCAAATCTGATATTTGCTTCAATACCTTCAAGCGCTTAAAATCCCTTGTAAACGACGTCACCAAGCACATCTTACTTTTATTGGCGTCGCCAGACATGTCAAGCCATGGTCATAATCATCTTGTTGATCGCGAGTCAATTACGTCACAAGGCCACCGATCGCCAGGTGATTGCCTATCGAATGCTTTTCCCGTAACTCAACACGGAATGCCGTATCCTGGAAAATCCTGTCGATCTTAATTTCCTTTAAAATGAAGTGCACGAAGCTGATGCCTATTTCCAAACCTCTAGCTGAACTGAAATTGTAAC